CACAAAGACAGAAATTGAAGGTTTCTTCTGGTAAATACATAGACTGAAGCACTGGCATTGCCAAGAATGGTAATTAAACATGCCAAACAGCTTGGCATTTAACTCTTACAGATTGTATTCCCTCGTCCTTACCTTTCATAAGACATCATTAGGGACTCTAATATTGTGTAGTTACAAATCCATAATAAACCAGGCACCTCGGAATTGTTATTTCTGCGTGTCACACACAAAAAATCGATAAATTTTGAGTGCAAACTTTAAATAAGGGTTGAGTTCAGAGAAAAGGCAGGTATTGAAAAATTAGTCCGTTCTCCCATCTGCGTTGTTTATTCTGTGTTTGACATTTTCAATAATTAGGTATCCAAGATGTACGTGTAGTTTCTTCTCAAACAATTGACCGGTTTAAGGATTAGCTCCTTTCTTTTCTGGTTGAAAGACACCGCCTGAAAAGAGCCCTGCCGCTGCCACACCCCCACGCTCTTCGTCTCTGCACATATCCACTTAAAAAAAGAGAGCGTGTTTTAAAGCGGTTTAATGAACTGTCACGCCGGGCAGAGTACGAGCAGATTTTCCCTCTGAGTCTGGAGTTGCATGCTACACGTTCCACTCCCACCTCGGCATTTATTAGCTCTACTGAGACCGATCCTGCTAACACTTACTTGGCATTAGTGGAGATACTCGAGGTAGTGAAATTGCTCAGGTGCGTCTGCAGCTGTTTGGCCCGGCCGGCTGATGATTCCCAGCTCAGCGAGCAGCGCAGGAGAATGGGATTTCAAAAGGAGCCGAGTTAGTCAGCTCGTTTCCGGAGTCAGTGGGATTAATGCTGCCCAGTCACGCAGACGGCGCTGACCCCCTCGGCAGCGGAGGGAACTAGGATCTCCTGCAGCCGCCATCGACGTGCATCGACCCGCAGCCACAGCAGCGGCCGGACCCGGCAGCTCTGTCCCTGCCTCGCATGATAAGGTCCCCGCCCTGTGGAGGCCTGGTGTGAAATCACACCGTGGTCATGGTGGGAACCGAGAGGGTCTCCGGGCGGTCTGGTCTCATTCGCCTTTTAAAAACTCTGTCTCCTAAAGCACAACGATGAAAATATCTGTCATTGGAGCACCTGCGGAAGGTAGCTGCTGTTGGTAAGTCTGCGGTCTCCGCTGCTACGGGAGAAGCAGCGCGGACGTTATTTCGTGCTCTGCTACTTGCTGGGTCTTTCCTACACAGATCTCGCTTTTTGCATGGGATACAGATGAAAGGAGTACCACAATGACCCACTCCCCCCCGGACGTGGAAGGAGCCCTCGAGGGCATACTGCCCGGTTTCCGTACACCGGGAGGGTCCTTCGGGGAACAAGAGGGACCGGCGACCCCAAATCGGAGGGCTGCCCCGCTGGACTCCCCCATGTACCGGAGCCTGCAGTCTGTGAGATGCTGCCGCGGCCGAAGGCCCTGGATGAACAGCACTTTATCTACAGCC